GTCTCCCAACCAATAAAAGCCCAAGGCCAGATGGCTTCAGTGCAGAATTCTATCAGAAATTCAAGGAACACCTAATACCAATTCTTCTCAAAGTATTCCACACAATAGAAGCAGAAGGGTCATTACCAAACTCTTTTTATAAGGCTTCAATAATCTTGATACCCAAGCCACACAAAAACACAACTAAGAAAGAAAACTACAGACCAATATCCCTCATGAACATTGATGCAAAAATTCTCAATAAAATACTGGCAAGAGGAATCCATGAACACATCAGAGAAATCATTCACCATGATCAAGTAGGCTTCATCCCAGTGATGAGGGATGGTTCAACTTATGAAAATCCATCAATGTATTCCACCATATAAACATACTGAGGAAAAAAACACATAATCATCCCACTACATGCTAAAAAAGACTTGACAAAATCCAACACCCCTTCATGATAAAGGTCTTGGAGAAATCAGGGATAACAGGAACATACCTTAACATAATAAAAGCAATATACAGCAAGCCGACAGTCAACATCAAATGATATATAGAGACACTCAATGCAATTCCTCTAAAATCAGGGACAAGACAAAGCTGTCCATTCTCTCCATACCTCTTCAATATTGTCCTTAAAGTTCCAGATAGAGCAATAAGACAACAAAAGATCAAGGAGATACAAATTTGAAAGGAAGAATTCAAGCTTTCACTATTTGCAGATATGACAGTCTACATAAGTGACCCGAAAAACTCTATCAAAACTCCTACAGCAGATAAACATCTTCAGCAAAGTGGCAGAATACAAGATTAACTCAAAGAAATCAGTAGCCTTACTATATTTGGATGATAAATGTGCTGAGAAAGAAATCAGAGAAATGTCACCCTTTACAATTGCCACAAACAACATAAAATACCTTGGGGAAACGCTAACCAAAAAAGTGAAAGACCTGTACCATAAGAATTTTGAGTCTCTAAAGAAAGAAATCAAAAAAGATACTAGAAAATAGCAGGATCTTCCCTGCCCTTGCATAGGTAGGATCAACATAGTAAAAATGGTAATCTTGGCAAAAGCAATCTACAGATTCAATGCAATATCCGTCAAAATCCCAACACAATTCTTCAAAGACCTTGACAGAACAATTCTCAACTTTATATGGAAAAACAAAAAAAAGAGGATAGCCAAAATATCCCTGTACAATAAAGGAACTTCTGGAGGCATCGCCATCCCTGACTTCAAGCTCTATTACAGAGCTATAGTCCTGAAAACAGCTTGGAACTGACACAAAAATAGATAGGTAGACCAATGAAATAGAGTTGAAAATCCTGATATTACCCCATACACCTATGAACACCTGATTTTTGACAAAGATGCTAAATCTATACAATGGAAAAAAGATAGCATCTTCAACAAATGGTGCTGGCACAACTGGATGTTGGCATTGTAGAAGACTGCAGATAGTTCCCTGTCTATCACTCTGCACAAAACTTAAGTCCAAATGGATCAAAGACCTCAACATAAATCCAGCCACACCAAACCTATTAGAAAGCAAAGTGGGAAATACCCTTGAATTAATAGATACAGGCGCCTGCTTCATGAACATTCCTCCAGTAACACAGACACTGAGGTCAACAATTGATAAATGGGACCTCCTGAAACTGAGAAGCTTCTGTAAGGCAAAGGACACAGTCAGCAAGACCCTGTGGTAGCCAACAGACTGGGGAAAGATATTCACCATCCCCTCATCTGACAGAGGACTGATATCCAAAATATACAAAGAACTCAAGAAGCTAGTCTCCAAAACACCAAACAATCTAATTAAAAAATGGGGTACAGAACTAAATAGACAATTCTCAATAGAGGAATCTAAAATGGCTGAAAGACACATAAGAAAGTGTTCAACATCAAGGGAATGCAAATCAAAACAACTCTGAGATACCATCTTACTTCTGTCAGAATGGCCAAAATCAAAAATACCAATGACAGTTTATGCTGGAGAGGATGTGGAGAAAAGTGAACGAACACTCCTCCACTGCTGATGGGAGTGCCAACTTGTACAGCCACTGTGGAAATCAGTATGGCGACTCCTCAAGAAAGTGGGAATCAGTCTACCACAAGATCCAGCAATTCCACTCTTAGGCATAGACCCAAAAGATGCACATTCATACAACAAGGACATCTGTTTAACGATGTTCATAGAAGGACTATTTGTAATAGCCAGAAACTGGAAGCATCCTAGATGATCCTCAACTGAAGAATGGATAGAGAAAATGTGGTACATTTACACAATGGAGTACTACTCAGCAGAAAAAACAATGGAATCTTGAAATTTGCAGGAAAATGGATGGAACTAGAAGAAACCATTCTGATTGAGGTAACCCAGTCACAAAAAGACAAACATGGTATGTACTCACTCGTATGTGGATTTTAGACATAGAGCAAAGCATTACCAACCTACAATCCACTCTGCCAGAGAAGCTAAGAAACAAGCAGTACCCTAAGAGAGACATACATGGTCCCCTGGAGCAGGGGAAAGGGACAAGATCTCCTGACCGAATGAATTTTGAGCCTGGGTTGGAGGGAAAGGGAGCTAAGAGAACAAGAACGGGAGAAGAGGAGTGGGGAGGAGGACATGAGGGAGCAAAAAATTTGAGTCGGGGGAAGAACAGAAGAAAACAAGAAAGGAGACACCATAATAGAGGGGAGACATTTTAGGTTTAAAGAGAAATTAGGCACTAGGGAAATGTCTGGAGATCTACAAAGATGACACCAACTAACAATCTAAGCAACAGAGGGGTGGCTACCTTAAGTGCCCTCACCTGATAATTTGATTGATGATTGACTTATATGTAAACCTATAGCCTTCAACCAGCAGGTGATGGAAGTAGAAGCAGATGCCCACAGGTAAACCTTAAACTGGAATCCAGTTACAGAGAAGGATGAGCAAAGGAGTCCAGACCAGGCTGGTGAAAACCACAGAACAACTGACCTGAACAAGGGAGAGAGCTCTTGGTCCCCAAACTGATAGCTGGGAAACCAGCATGGGATTGATCCAGACCCCATGAATGTGGGTGTCAGTGAGGAGACCTCATAAATCTATGGGGCCTCCTGTAGTAGATCAGTACTTATCCCTAGCATAGGTGTGGTCTTTGGGAGCCCATTCCACATAGAGGGATACTCCCTGAGCCAGGACACACGGGGGAGGGGGGCTTAGGTCCTATCCTAAATGATATGACAGACTCTTTAGATCCCCATGGAAGGCCTCACCCTCCCTGGGGAACAGAAAGAGTATGGGAAAGGTAGGGTTTTAGTTTGGGGGGGTGATAATGGAGAAGGGGAGGGAGTGGGAGCTTGGATTGACATATAAAACAATCTTGTTTCTAATTCAAATAAAAATAAAACTAAAAAAAGAAGTAGAAGATTTATGCTGACTGATTACAAACTTATCCAACTATGTTCATAATGCCAATATAATGTTAGAAACATACTGGACACACAGGCCAAATGAATACAGCTGGAAAAATCCAGAATCAGTTTTTGTCAATTCACTTTCAACAAAGGTAGCATAATACTTAATGAATAAAGAATTGAGTTCCCTGGAAAAAAATTATATAGCTGATCACACTTCATTTGCTGAAAGCATTCCTTGCTGTAAGCCTAAAATTGCTTCTTAGTTTAAAATAAATAAATAAAAACAGATGCTATTTAAGATTTTCTTTGTTTAGCTCTACACTACTAGCTCTAGCTGTCCAGCTGCTGTGGACATGCTTTGCTCTGTACCTTTAGTTCCCAAAGCTAAGCTAGGAAGAGATGCCATAGACACAGACCTATCAATAGCTTGTTCCCATGTTGCCATGAAACTGACCAGGGAATCTGGATAGTGAGGAGTCAAAAGGTGACTGCAGGAGCAGTTATTAAGTTAGTGAGGAGGATGGGATAAAGAAAAGGTAGAATTATAGCTAAATAGTTATGTATGCAGTTCCTACCACAAGAGGAAGGGAAAGTAAATTACAAGATATCTAAGAGATACCAGAAACAGCATAGGGAGGAATTAGGCTACTCTATTTTTACTGGCATGTCTTTATTCAGTGAAAAAAGAGGTAAAGTCATCTATTTTGTGTGCTGATTGCTGAAGGGGAGAAAAGGTGTGAATGTGTCTTCTGGAAAAGGAATCAGCAATTGACTGTGGAAATATAGAGAGATTGCTGTGTCCTGGGGAATTACTTAAGCTGTTGGGATAAATTTCAAGCACACCCCATCAGCACTATCACATTTAAATATAACACTCATAAATGAGATAGTGTGTGTGTGTGTGTGTGTGTGTGTGTGTGTGTGTGTGTGTGTGTGTGTAATGTAATCGGGTCTGAGATTTTACCACTCTATGTGTGAGAGAGGAGAGAGAGAGGGAATTGAGGACGTATGAGGAAGTGTTTGTTATGATGGTCCCATGGCATAAGCTCACGTACACAGGGAATGGGGGAGCAAAGCCTTAAAATAACAGAAAATCACGTTGATCTTTAAATAATGATTTTAAATAACTTGAGAAAATATAGTCTTTCTGGAAAATTACCTAGGGAGAAATATAACTCACTAAAGGTGATATGAAACAGTGTGGACAACATTTATTTTCCTACTACCAATAGCCAGGATCTGCACAATCATTAAGACTTACACCCAGAAAAAAAGTTTAGAGTTGAATTTTATAAACTTCTACTGAGCAGATAATCAGTAAAATCTTACATATTTTTATTAAAATTTTTCATATTGTATATTTTGACTGTGTTTTTACTGGTCCCCCCAACTCCTCCTATATCCTCCCTACTGCCCTACCCATCCAATTTAATTTTATGTTACCGTGATCTCTTTATAAAAAAGAAAACAAAATGAAAATCAAAACAAACAAAAAAACCCAGCAAGACAAAAAGAAAACAAATGAAACAACTCCCTCAAAAATAAACAAACAAAACAACACATGAAACATACAGAAAATTGGAAAGATGTAAACAATCCCAACTTTTATGACATGATTTTAATGAACAGCAAACCAGACATAAATAGGATAAGGCAGGACAATCACAAATCACTGTCATTCACAGCCCTAACAAACAGGGAAAATCTTAGCAAATAATATTCAGTAATATATCCGCAAATACATAATATAGCATAATGTTTCATTGCAGATGAATGAAAGGGTCTTGCAAACTATGATAGCATATTAATAGAATTCAACACTGTGATATAGAGCAGACTGAAGGACTACCTCAATGGATTTGAAAGCAAAATGTCTTAAGGATAAAATTTACCACTTTTACCTATTTGAATAACTGAAAAGAAATCTTTCAAGATACAGGAGCTCAAAAAAATACAAAATGTATGACACCTTAAAGTTCTAGCCATTATAGAATCTAACTCTCTGAAAATTTTTGGGGAAATAGACTGAGTCAAAGGTATTAAGTGTTGATGTTATTTTATTGCAATAAATTTCTTGTGCTGGTTGTGAAATGGTATTAAAAGATCTATAAAATATTGACTCTTCATATTGAAGTCACAGGGTAACACAGAATAACTAGAGTGTCATAGTTAAAATGAGATGTAAGGATCAGGAGGATGTCTCATGGGTAAAGGTGACTGCTACAAAACCTAGCAACCTGAGTTTGATTCCCAGGACACACATGATGGAAGGTAAGAATAGACTCCTGAAAGTCAAATTCTTATTTACATGTGAGTGCTGTGGCATGGGTACATATGTACCCATGCACACAAATAAATAATGAGATAACATGATGAATAAAATAAATACTAAAATTCTGAATCATCTAAAATATTTCATGAAAAGAACAAAGAAAGTGCCAATATTATTTTAAAGGAAAGGTAGACTAAGGCATAGTGATATATAATTATATAAGTAAATAGGCTTCACACTGAAATAGTATAGATTTGTAGGCTTGTTAACACACGGAAACAAAATATATGATATTTACAACAAAAATATTTTCAATAAAGGTTATAATATCAAAGTCTTTGAGTAGTTGTGTGAGCCCTGCTTCTTGTTGCTCACATCCTGTATGATGCCCCTCCTTGAACGATGTGATTAGCTGTAGAACAATAAAGAACAGCACGTGTCAATACATTTTACTTCCATGTGATCATGCAATATTCAGTAAGACTGTTGGTATTATAGATTATATAACAAATAACTTCAAATGTAAAAGAATTGGAAGCATTCAAGGTATGTTCTCTGTTTATCCTGGTGTGAAATTAGAAATCCTTTGTTGCATTCATCTATCTCTGTCTATGTATTTATTTGTATGAGTATGTGTTTGTGTGTATTTGTGTGTGTGTGTGTGTGTGTGTGTGTGTGTGTGTGTGTTGATATTTTGTTCATGACCTAACAAATAAAGCTTGCCTGAAGATCAGAAAAGGAAAGAAGTCAACCACTAGAGTTCTTAACTTTACCAAGGTTGGGACTATCCTGTCCTCAGCATGATTGAAGACTGAATACACTGCATTCCTGTCTCCACCTGCCTTATATTCCTCTCTAATGCTGGGATTAAAGGTATGTATCACCACCCCCCAGGTTCTATGGCTAACTAATGTAACTGCTGGGATTAAAGATGTGGGCCACCACTGCTTGTATTCTATGGCTGACTCTGATCTTCAGGCAAGCTTTATTAGATCATAAATGAAATATCACCAGTATGTGAATGTGTGTGTGTGTGTGTGTGTGTGTGTGTGTGTGTGTGTGTACATGTGTGCTATGATGCAAATGTGGAGGTTGGCGAATACCTTGTGTGACTTGGTTCTTTTCTTCCACCATGTGGGTTTCAAGGATTGAGCTCAGGTCATCAGGCTTGACCACAGTGCCTTTACCTACCATGCAATTCTGCTGGCCTGAAAGATTATAAATTCATGACAATAAATTATCTATTGAATGGTCAAGAACTTAGAATGTAAACAACATATATCTAAATGACTCATAGGTGAAGAAACCGTACAGATAATTCAGTATAGTGATACTAAGTGATAATAGCAATCCATGCATCTATTATTAAAATTATTGCAAAAATAATATGTGAGTGGCTGAATATATTGTTAACTCAACCAAAGCTCTGTGTAAAGTAGCAAATCTTGAACATACTTTCAAGATGGAAGTTGGCATGCCTTCAAATAATTTTATATGCAGCCATTAATATATCCCACCAGACAAAGGCATTGCAAATAAAAGGAATGATGTAACCCATGAATGTGGATGTGAACATTATCAGTCAAATAGCCAGTCAAACCAAGCCTCATGGGAAGAGGTAGTGCACTGTGAACACAGACATGATAGATTGAGGAGACACACATAAAGCATCACCTTAACAGAGTACAGGAGAACAACCCTCAGACAATTGCAGCAAGAACCAGGGAGCTGTGAGAATGAGAAGGGAAGAAGAGGAAGGATGTAGAGGTCATGAGGGAGCAGAAAGGTTGAGTCAGGGGAAGAATAGAAGAAAGGATATGTGATAGGTAGGGTTTTAGTTGGGGGGTGATAGGGGAGGACGGGAGGGAGAAGGGAACTGGGATTGGCATGTTCCTAATTGTTTCTAATTCAAATAAAAATATCTGAAAAAAAAAGAACCCTGAGTAGGTTAGGCACATTGTGACTCTCTTAAAGGATAAACTCTTAGTGATTGAAGCAGAAGAATGAATGAGAGTTTAGAACCCAAGTAGGAGGGTAAATAAGAAACTGGACCCCAGGTCATTCAGGAGGAGGAAAGTAGCAGTGTGGCAATAGTCTGTGGGCACAGATGTAAAGGTAAAGTAGCAACCCTGACCCCAGGTGATGCTGCTAATAGTGCGAGTGGCAGCCATGAAGTAAGCTTAATGGCAAATTAGGAAATGAATTAATTCATAAAAACCCACTCATAGAAGATAGTCTTTAAAAGTGAAAAGTGTGCGAGATTCTTCAAGCCACAAGTGTTTCTAACAACTACCTACAAAACCCCACCTTTAGTGATCAGCATGTGAAAGTCACTCAAAATCAGAATGACACACCCACAAATATAGTCATTTATGCATTAGTAGATTAGTTCATCCAAAATGGAAGTCTTCTGACTTAATTAATTCTTAAGTTCTCACTCCAACATACCTCTTATAAAACCTCATGATGCAGAATGAATTCAAATCATGTAGTACCTGCATTACTTTCATGAAACAATCCACTAAAACATTAGCATTACTACAGGCTACTACTTTATCTATCCACTGCATACTTTTGGTTAGGTAGGTAGGTAGGTAGGTAGGTAGGTAGGTAGGTAGGTAGGTAGGTAGGTAGTATCCACGGACATATAAGAATATATCCTTAGCACACCTGCTTAATAAAACACAACACCAAAATGACACACATTAGTATTTAATTATGATTATTAGGGGGAACATGCATATCGTCTAACTTCTGAAATTTTAAAAATGGACACACACTACCTTTGTACAATGAGGTTTATTTTAAAGGAATATTGATCAATGCCATTTTATAAAGGTTTATACTCTTCTAGTCTCTCACACATGTACACAGAGAGAGAAAGAGAGAGGATGAGTTAGTTTCTATCTAAGGGAAGAAAACTCCCAAATGTCATCCTGAAAGACCCCCAGACCCCTAAGGGGCACAGGGTCCCAAGGAGCCCCCGAGACGCAGAAACCAGACCAAGAGCTGCAAAAACAAGAGGGTTTATTGAACGAATGTGCATTCGGGTGTCAGCAATATAGGGAAAGCTGGACACCCCAGCAAGGGTTACAGGCTCCTTATATAGGAAAAAACCGCAGATCAGCATACAGGCAAGGGGCACAAAGTGATTGATTACAAAGTATGATCTCATGTTAGAGTGGTCACCCAGGTCTGACCTGCTTTTGTACAAAGGAAAAACCACAGAACGTACCCTGGAAAGTCCTTGATTGTCTGTTGGCCAGCCAGGTGTGACCCAAAGAGGGTTGTCTTGGCGATTGCCCCCATCTAAACCATAGGATGTGCCTGGGGTGGGGGCCAATTTCCTTGTAATGGGCCAAGGCCTGTGGGAAACTTTTTCTCTCTGTGAACTAAAATCTTTTAAAACTTTTTCTCTCAGCAAACTAAAATCTTTTAATCCTTTATAGAACCAAGAGATAGTTCAGTTCTGCAGGGACTGTGCATCTGTGCTGGGGGAGTACACCATCTCATGGTGTGTCCCAGCATGATTTAGCTATAGGCAGCCATTCATGTACCCACTCAGCTTGATGCTGTAGGAAATTCACAGAGATGCAGAGATTTTCTGAATTTATATTTGAACAGCTAGAGGTAACTAATAGCTCCTGTTATAGCCATACCCCAGAGTTACAAATTGTAAAGCTGAGTCCTGGGTCAAATTCTATAATCAGGGATGACATTTATGTGCAGTAACGATGGTGTGTGTTGGGCGGGGCAGGAAGACTTGAAAACATCTGTTAGAGGAATGAGGGAAGAGTGGAGCAGAATAAGAGGATGGGGTGGGTCAAAGAATATGTGATACGTGCACAGCAGTGTCATAATGGAGCCCATGATTTTATAGAACAAAAAAAAGCTACCATGCAATCCAAAAGAATGAAGTGAAAATTACCAGAGAATGCTGATGCTGTTACCACAAGGATTCTGTTTGGCTTTTGCAATTGTGATTTCAAACTAACTCAGTGATCAATGATCTTCCTGATCACTTTTTCATTACTTTCAAACTAAAGAAGCAATTCATCTTCTGTAAGCCCAAATGTAAAGGAAGGTTCATCTTCAATGCAAACAAGAATGGTTGTCCTCTGCCTCCTCTGAAGATATTATTCTGAAGACACACACACATACAGAGAGAGAGAGAGAGAGAG